CTAGATCATCAGCGGGCTCATCTGATGCCTCTTCTTCAGCTTCTTCCCGCATTGCCGGCTCAGCTTCTTCCCGCATTACCAGCTCAGCTTCTTCCCCCATTGTTGTATCATCGTATTCAGGGAACCCATGGCCAGGATAGCTGTCGTCGTCCTCTTCTTCTTCATTTCCTTCCATCATAACCCCTCTTTCTCCGTGCTTGGTCCAAACATTATAGTGGGGCATGAAACTGGACTTAAACAGGTGGACATGAATGGTTCTTGACGTAGAGTAATTGTGACCATTCTTACAGCGAGCACATGGACAAGGCATAAAACCATCCGCCCGCTTGTTTGCCTCAGGCGCAAGCAGAAAAGTATGCACGCCCTCAATGAACTGGGGAGAGCATCGGTCATCATACACCCATTGTCGGCTCATCTTCATTACACAACACCGAATAGACCAAATTAATACAAGTTCATACATAAAGTTCATACAACACTTAAATGCAACAAACAAATAACTCTCTAGCTAAAGCATTTAAATGCAACAACAAATATGATCAAGATCGCAACTAAGGTAACAATGGATCCAACAGCATAATGATACCAAGCCTCACTATCGATGGCATATTTTCTAATCTTTCTAATCTTCAAGCGCATTTTCTCCATCTTGATCTTGTGATCATCGACGACATCGGCAACATGCAACTCCAATTCCATCTTCTCCCCCTCAATTCTGTTCAATTTTTCTTTCAAGTACTCGTTTTCTCTTTCAACTAAATTTAACCTCTCGACAATAGGGTCGGTTGGAATTTCAGGTTCACATACCTCCTAGAAAAAATTTCTATGTCAACTTGATGGGCATAATTTGTCATAAACACGAAATGCAACTAGTTTTAAAAGAGAATATATATACCACATCCGAATCATAACAAGGACGAGGGCCGGCGTGGACGGATATGAAAACCATGGCACTATATGTATAACAAACAACGTACGGGTAAGATAATTATACGAGTAACTATATATCCAAATCACACAAACATCAGTTTTTATATAAAATTTCATGAACAAGAGGCTCACCACAAGGTGGTGCCGGCGACGGGACGGTGCGGGCGATCGACGGTGGTTACGACGGAGATTTAGAAGGCACTAAGTAAACCACACCTACATATGCAAACTAAGTGTTATTTTTGACCTCAAATTGCATATAAATCAAATACTAGCACATATATATATATATATATATATCCTCCCAAATTGCTCAAATCACAAATTAATCACTATATAAAGCATTGCAAGAGCTAATCTAGCAATGAGAGATGAAAGGACAAAGTTGCTAACCTTTGTGATCATTTGAATGGATGGGGGCCTTCAAATCTTGACAAATTTTGGATAAAATGTGTAATGAGCTCGAGAGGAAGAGGGGAAGAACAGAGAGGAGAGGGGAAAGGGGGAAGAACAGAGCAAGCTCGGGTGGACGAAGGGTTTATGTAGGACGACCTTTAGTACCGGCTCGTGCCAAAAACCGGTACTAAAGGGGTTGGAGGGGCCCCAGTCTGACAACATCCTGTCACCACTCTCATTAGTACCGGTTCGTGGCACGAACCGGTGCTAAAGGTTCGCCACGAACCGGTACTAATGAAAGCGGCCCGGCTAGCCATTGGAACCGGCACTAATGTATACATTAGTGCCGGCTCAAATACAAACCGGCATTAATGTGCTTCACGTCTGACCCTTTTTCTACTAGTGCCAGATGGTGAAGACACATACTTTTGGTTCATCCAGCAAGGTTGAACCACTCCATACACTATATATGTTTGATGCATATGTTTCATCCCGAGATGGGCAACGGCTCTTGAACTAGTAGTACATTTAATGGCGACGAAATATTTTGACTCCAGTGCGGTTTTCAGATCAACATACGTGTCCGGGGAACAGCTCGCGGTCTTCGTTCTAGGAAGGAGATAAACTAAACTAGACGTTTGAGAGTTGAGATCAGAGACCAGATGGGGATCGAACAACGGTTGACTGCTTGCTTGCTGCCACCTCCTCCCGCTGTCCAAATTAAACAACAAGCCACGTTTACGGTTTGATTAGTACTCCGTTTCACACCCCCTATGATCCAGGAGGCTTGAGTACAAGTTCATCTTTCCTTGTGTGTGTATATAGCTCGTATGTAAGTATGCACACGAATAACCCTCGCCCAACTCCAATACAGTCGCATAATACGCGGTTGCGAAACAAATCCGGGGGCTACACCCTACATACATACACACACATACATGGGTTGGCCACTGTCTTCAGGTAAGAATTTCCTCCTGGCCTAGCTTAGCTACTTTGTTCATGTTCAACAGTTCCTTTTGTAAAGAACACACCCCAACCGTCTTCTCTAGAGAGTTGCCTCCTTGCAGTTGCATCTAGTTTTCTTCCCCCCCGCCTTTTGCTTGTTCTTTTCTAAGTAAACACACTCCATGAGTTTATTTTGTGGAGTAGCAGCTTCCGTTTAGTATATGGATCTAGAAGATGTAAAACATTCTTCATGTGTTGATGTTATTTATGGGAAGATGTTGCTGCATGGTGAAAGGTTGTTATTGCCATATGAAGGCTCTTTACGCAACCAAGACTTCAGGATGCACAATTTTTCAAGTTTACATGAAACTTTCACCTATTTCTCCGCACCATCATACTATAAAGCTTCATGGTAGCTTTGTCGCAAAACCCCACCTCTCCTCACGTGAAGTAGCAACATTTGCATTTTTTTTACATATCCTCGAGGGATAATACCCAGCATGATTTTCAACACACGTGTACAGGTTCTTTTAGATCACGTAACACACATACCGACCGCTCAAAAAAAAAGTAACACACGTACCGAAAAAAGCTTTCGCCCCGCTTTATATATAAAGCAAAGATCAACCACAACCCAAGTACAAACGCACCCCATGACAACACACGCACACACCCAAGGCGGGATACATAGGCGCTGAGCGCAGCAATACCATCACTAACACTACAAGAGCAATCGGGGACCTCCTCCGTGAACACGCCATCGCGAAGAGATGAAGCCGCATATGACGAACCGTGAGCTCCAAGGCGGCGCCTCCAAGAAGGTTACGACGCCAACGCGCCCCCACCGCCTGACCCGAGGGTCAGAGTTTTCCCTGGAGCGACACGATGAACAGTGAGAGCCGCGATGACGCCTTCAAGAAGGTAACGCGCTACGCGGCCGCCGGTCTGTCTGAAGATAGAACAGGTTTTCACCCCAGCAAACACTCACTACCACCGAACGCCACACCCCTGCCACCATGCCGCCCACACGGCCATGGTCATCGGGCAGCACCAAGCCACGGGCTCTGCCCATGAACACCGCGCTACCACCACCAGGGCCGCCGCCCCGACATTCAAGACCTTGACACCACCTCAACCAAGACCTGTCGCTACCCCAACCAAAGAGACGAGTGGAAAGGCCGCTCCTTTTTCACACCCCTGGGCGCCCCCTCCACCGCGCCGAGACCCAAAAGGCCGGCCAAAATTGGCCTCCATCACCCGCTCTGCTGCACCGGGTGCAAGACAAGCTCGGTCCTGCTGCTGGGCGCGAGACGAGCTCGGTCCTGCTGCGGGGCGTGAGGCAAGCTCTGTCTTGCGGCCACGGGCACGAGACGAGCAACAAACTGCAATTGGGAGCGGTCCAGCCCTATGACGAGGGTAGAGCCCGGACGACAAGGGGAAGAATCGAAGGTCGAAACAGGCCGCTCACCGACGGGCGACGCCAGAGACCAGCCGCCGTCGTGAAACGATCCAGACCACCACCATGAGGAGCAGCCGCGAGCCACTTTGCAGCAGCTGCGACATGTCGCCGAAGACGCAGCCCGCCCCCCGGCCATGGACGCCCGGCGCCCCTCCACCCCGAAAGGAGTAGCCTGACCGCCGGCCGCCCCACCACCAGCTTAGCCAGGTCACCGCCGCCACCACCCGAATCTGGGCAGGAGCACCCAGATCCGCCGCCAGCAAGGCCCCCACCCTCGGAGCCCTA